TAGAGGGCGCTGTTTAACACAGAGCATGACAAACAATGCTTACCGGTGAATGGATGAATACCAAAATCTTCTTTCATACTGACGCTGTCATCCTCATGAAGTTGAAATGAAAAACCACTAACTGTGGAAACGAGCTGGGTGAAAAAGTTTGCCACTTGAGGGCAGTCTTCAAGTAAGATGTACCGGTCTTGTCTGTTTGTAAAGTATTGATTTTCTAAGTTGGCACTACATTGAGAAGAAGAATGATAATTGAGAGGATGTCATTCATTTCACATGTGACCTATGGGCATAGAACAATACTGTCTTTTACTAACAGATTGGGTGTTTTAAGCAATAACATTTATGCCTGTCGTGACTTCTAGTGTGATTTTGAAAACAGTTTTTTGAAATTTTGATTATGAAAATGATATTTTCAACCAAAAGAAACTACAATCGCTACAAAACAAGTCGAAAGACACACTTAAGGTAACTGCACTACACACATAATGCTTTAGAGCAAATGGTTTCAACAAACAAATTATATATTTGAGATAAAAAGACTCACTTTTTTGAAAGTTAATTTGCATGTAATTTGGTGGAACATACATCTCATTTACTCTCCTCAAGACAGATGGTACAGCAGTTTTATCTCAAGGAGCTGTATTTAGCCAAATAGCTAAGACAACTAACTTACCCGCTAATAATCAGTGAATCGTCAAATAAATATATTTTCATATGGTGTAGTCCAATAGCTTCATTCAACCTTGCTGGTACAAAGCGTTTTAACATGCCCCTCAGATCAGGACTATGATACAGAGATATGTTCACATTAGAACCATATTCACGAAGTAATGGTAACAGCATTGTCCTGGAATTATGTTTTCCTCTGGACCCCCTAGTGTACTCCAATAAAATCTGTATATGTAGTGAATGGGTTGAATTCTTTGCTGCTTCATGAATGCTATCAACCTAGGAAGAAATAAAGAAGACATGCCTTTAGACAGGTTACGAATAGAGGTGAGTTCATTTGAATTGAAAAATATGATAAAAAAAATAGCTTATTTCCCTGATGTTCTTACAAATTAAATATTGTACATTCGATGTAAACACACACTCATTCTCTTACCAGTTGTTGTTCCAATTCACCAGTACCCAGGTACAGAGATGCTAACACAATTCTATTTCTTGCATGCCGAGCTTTTTCCTAGTGCATGTAGGAACAAGATTTGTAATGATTAAATACATAAAACAATTAACACTGCATGTACGCCACTGTATGTTGCTTAAAATTACTGATGCTGTCAATAATCATTCGTTCACTCCAAAATAGGATTCAATAGTTTATGATTTAAAGAGCCATTTCATTATTATGGTATACACTAACACTAGTGCTCTCAGTGCAACAATAGCAGTTGAATCCAACCAACTAATCAAGAACACCTCTCTGCAATGACATCAGTTAAAAACTCTCAGTGTTATTCAATCAGCCAATTAAATCTCTTGTTTCAGTTCGAATTGAGAAATTTATAAGGATTTATAGAGTTGAGGGGAATGCTCTTATTGTGCTGAGAGTATAGTACATAGATTAACCTTTAAAGTTTTATAAAATTCACTTGGTTCTCTCAGAATGGTTACTTGATCTCCATTGACAGCAAACACGGGAGCAAAACGTGAAATCCAACTAAATTCTTGGAACACAGGATCCATGTTTTCACCAAGACTAGACTGCTGATGATACTGCCTAACACCAATGCTTGCTCTGTAGACAAAAACAATTTACGTTTTAATTCAAAATGATTATGATTGGGAATCACTCTTAATGAGGTATAATCAGACATAACTCAGTACATCATTGATAGTGCTGCAGTTTTGTCATGACCTAGCCACGCATACAGGACTGAGTGTCAGAGGTTACAAGCCCTATTTGAGGTCAGAGGTTATGAGCCCCATTTGAGATCAGAGGTTACAAGCCCCATTTGAGGTCTGAAAAACAAATAAATTGATCAGTATTATATATTACTATTTTTTATCTAATTTTTCATCGTTACTTGTCTGAAGAAGCACTACAGTTGGAAAACTTGGCTACAGTGAATTTGACGATTATCTATTTAGAATATATGGTAATACATTAAAGGGCAGTCATACCACATAATGTTCGATATCCAACTCATAGCGACGTATACATCGCATGTAAAATAATTGTTTACATGCAATGCATGATGACCTTCCGATGACATTCTATTCAATTGACAATTATATCTTGTATAAAACCATCTCACATGTATTCCAACAGTTCTGCTCATTACACATACTATATTGGGAAAACATGATGGCAGTAGTTGAATAGGGTTATTCAAGTTACTATCTACATTCCAACAACCCACCACCAATACAAATGATTCTGAGGCACCTGGATTTTAAATGTTGATGACCCTGAAGATATACAAATATACTGTAAAATGACTAATTTTCACTGGCTTTAAATTTCGCTGATTTACCATTTCAGGCATATTCAGTGGGTTTTAAATTCACGGTTTTATCATTTAGATATTGTGTTCTATGCTAAATTTTACATATTCACTGGGTTTTAATTTAGCCCATTTTCCAGTCAGCGAAATAAGAAAAATTAAAACCCAGTGAATAATTAATCCTTTTACAGTATGTGTTTAAGCCGAACAGAAAATTTGCTAGTGGAGAGTCCACCTTCGGCTTTGTCAAATATTTTTCTATCATATTTATTACATGCCATCAAAAACTTTTCATCCTAAATGTTTTTGTTTTTACACATTCTATTATTGGTTGGTATTGTATTGTGTCTACTGGTTTCAATTTTGAGACTGTGATCTCTTAATCTAAACTTTGTTATTATTGCACGTAAATTTGCATTTTTGAGTTGTATTAAGTAGGATTAAGCCTTCGATTTGTTCTCAGTTTATTTTTTTCTTCATTTACTTTGCTTGTATCATATGAATTTAATTTTACCGATTTGTAATAAACATAATTTTAATTTTTTATTCAATATATTTCATCTATGTTGGACTGTCACATTTTTGAAATAGTTGTGTTTCATTAATGTTTAGTAGTAATGTTTCTACTTATGTGTACCATTTAGTTTTTAATTAATCATAAATGCTTCCTTAAGTAATGTGTTGAGCGAATTTTCTAATTGGTTGCAATATTTTATCAAATGTCATTTAACAAATATATCTATAGGATATCTTACAAGTTCACTACAGATACCCATTATTGGGGTTTCAATATGCACAGAAGAAACCTGTAATAGTTGATGTGAATGTCTTCTATTGGTGACTTGTGAGAGGTCTCATCACCCCACACATCACTTCCATAAACAAGAATTGGTCTGATAATGGATGTACTAAGAAAGGATGAACCACTGAGTTAAGAGGATTAAAAAGGCACTCGAGAAAGTTTACTTTTGGTGTTATAATGCGTTAAAATCCTCTTCTTAGTACATCCATGGTCTGATCAATTTGTCAAACAATGATAGATGATAGTGATAACTCAATATCAAGTTCATGGTTATATTCAACTATTTATTATAATTGATTGTAGTTTATTTCAAAAAGCTTTAATACAGCAATTACCAAAACTGAAATGTCAGATTTCATTAAGGATGTAATAAAGCATTATTCTATTCTATTCTATTCTATTCTATTCTATTCTATTCTATTCTATTCTATTCTATAATGAGAAAAGTGCTTTTCATTCCTTCTTTGGATATTCCATTAGCACTAATTTCAACACCTAGATTAGTTGAATGTTTTTAATGTACGGATTTCACTGCCTTCAAAAAAGAAAATTCATTATCCAACAGTTTATGATTTTAGTTTTTTCTGTGTTTACAGAAAGTTGTATAAGATAACAGGTTATCTAAGCTTATTTGAAGACCAGTCTTTTTTTCTGAGAGTATGACAATGTCATCTGCATAGAGAAGACAGCTTTGCAAGGTATTCTGTAACTTAGGAGGATCACATGTGGTCAAATTAAATATATCAGGCAAATCATTAGGAAATTGGTGGAACAAGGAAGGGTTTAGGTTACACAGGAACACCCCTGTTTTTCTTCTGTTTGTGATTGAAAATGTTGGGTTAATCTTGCCTCAGTTTTCACTTTATATTTTACATTGTTATACATATATTGGATAATGTTACCAGATATCCCATATTTCAACAATTTTAGAAACAGCCCATCATGCCAAACAAAGGCTTTTTTAACGTCAACAAAACAGGCTTACATTATTGGAGGCTTTATTGACAACTAATAAAGTTTATGTATATTCTTTATTAGTTGTCTGAGGTTTCAGTTACCTGATGACAGAGGTAATTGTTTATTATTGTTTTGAGAATAAAAAAAAAAATTGTCTACAAAGAATATTATTTTCTATCCAAAAATGTTGTTATTCTATTGTTTAAATACTTATGAATAATTTTTCCAAGAGAACTTGAATTTCCAATGCCTCTATAATTTGAAAGGTTAGTTTTAGACCCTGATTTGTGGGTGTGTACTAACAAACTTACATTCCAAGTTTCTGGAAATTTCGTCATTTGGTTGGAAAAAACTAGCTTTCGCCAACGTTCCAGTGCTGTAGGTTCGTTTTTAGACCACAAGAACGGTATGGCATAATCGCTAGATTGGTCGATAGACGTTTTGGCGGATTACAATCACGAAAACTACAGAAAGGCTGTACGCCATAATTTTGTATCCGGGTGTCGAATCTCCGGTCGACATCACTTCTCGGGACTGTGCGGCCGAGTGGTCAGCAGTGGGAGGCCAAACTCCAAGCAGTTACAGCTCCCTGCTACAGGATTGTACAGGGCTAGGGTCGGTCAAATGAGAGCCGGTGACAGGAATTTAAATTCAAGCCAAACAACTATTGGTGTAAAGCGCCCATGATATTTCATCGAAAACATTTTAACTATAATATATGACCAACACTGTCTTATTTAAACATGAGGTAAAAGATCGCAATTTACCTGGTGATTGCTTCTTTGCGAAATAATCCTTGAAGCAGACGAAGACACGCACCGGCCATGTTTCCCATACTGACAACCTTTGAACTTATAGTTAACTGCGGTGAAAAGTTGGGATTCTTTTGTTTATTTCTTGGCTTGGTTCCCGACATTGCCCCTAGAGGTCGCTATCGCACGGAATTGCCGGATTACGCATCTTAGGCCAGCGGGGTCCATTTGAAAAAAAGAAACTTACTTACAAAAAACATATTTCAAAAATAAATATGTCATAAAATGATGCCGAAAACATTATGGGTTCCACTTGGGGTGGGTATTATTTTGTAACAAGTCGAGGATTGAAAGAAGCATATGAAATACACATTTTTAGTTTGTATATTTTCAAGGACCGTGCCTGTATGTTTACAGGCACTAGTATAGTATAGTTAAAGGCTGACGGTCACCAGTTGTAGTGTAATAATTGTCCAGGTCTGACAATGCAATAAGAATGACAGAATTTAAAGTTTTTTCAGGTGCCCCAGGAAAAGCAAAATATATTTCAGGTCAGGTATTGTCAGTTTTGATGTATATATTGGATTGTTTATATAAATTGTACATTTTAGTAACACTAATGAAAAATAAATGATATAAAAAAAAACATTTTTCGTCAAAGAATGCATATAAAGAATACAAATGCTAAAAAGAAATAACAATGTCAAATTCTCAATGGAAGAGATGCACTAATAAATGCTTCGCACACGAAAGTTAACAAAATAACAGCAGGGAAAATGCAGAATAAATTACTGTGCCTACCCGGAGAATCAATAATGGTTCTTTTGATTAAGCCATCCATGATATTATCCCTAGTTTAAACCAGAGTAGATTTTCAAAGGGCGGTGGTCGGCGCGTCCTGTTCGATATGGAACCCATAGCGACATATACAACACGTTTGAAATACAGTGTTTACGTGAAATTCAAACACGCGCTGCGCAACGACCACGGTCCTTTAAGGTGTAAATTAATTGGCTCTCGCAGCACTAAAATAACGTTTTTGTATATTTTCTCTCGGTATCGAACACTCAATCAAAGAACATTCAATCACCACCATCCAGCGTGATTTCATTTTCCAGCTTAACCCATGCCATTGGTAGGGTCTCGCCTAGTTTAACCTTAGCGCATTCCAAAGTTAATCCCATACTACATTTTACCATGTCATAGCTACTACATTAGAAATCTCATACCATATGAAACAAGCTAGATATTGAATATTTTGCACTGCCTAAAAAGTAAAAGTTCATGTTCATTATCTTCCAATAAAAGTAGACTACATTACCACATAGGGTTCACGTTATTGGATTGGAAATGGTGATGTCTGTGTCTATGGTCAGAACTGAGCAATATACAGTGTATTTTACATATACAGATATGGATCTTCATAACAATATCACAAGTATGTGAATTTATTTTTGAATAGCAACATGGCGCCATAAAGCGTTTTGAGGAGTTCACTTGATTGTATTACAGTCCAAGGAAACGCTCAACTGGACTCATTATTTGAGGTTCACACTCATTTGAATCTACATTCTTCAGATATTGTAAAACACAATTACTCCATGCTTAGTCAGGCTAATTTTTGGACAAGGCAAGAATGCCCATTTCTCGTCAAATTTTATTGCACATGTCGTTGAGCATTAGGTGAGGTGGGGATCTATAACAGTACATGTTCACTTGGCAACTTGGGCAACATTATTGACCAGTCCATAGTTTATCACTAGATGGTAGATGCGTCTAGTAGGTAATTAGAGGGGCCACTACTGAGGCAATTTTTTGTGAGCACATGTATGTATGTAATGAATGAATGCCTTCTAAATCAGTCTTGTCGGCAGTGTTGGTGGGTGAACATTATCATCAACACCATAGGCAGTCTTCCATGAACATACCCAAATCAAGTGTTGATCCCTATCACCATCCACACTTTATGAGGGCAAGTTTTTAGTTTCTGACAGACACAAAGGGGTGTGCCCACAACAAGTAGAATAAAATAATGCGATGAAACAGCACATGGTTGTCGCCTAAACAAGAAGGGGGCTCTAGGTCTCAAGAAACTGACAATACCAATAAAACCACCGATTGAAATACCGTATTTAGAAGACTTGACCTTTATATGGTACCAACCATTGTTATGGAACATTGTATTTTACTTTGATTATTGCAGCCCATATACCCTGGTTGACTGAATGAGGTCACCATTATGTAACTATGTCAGATAGTACAATCAAATCAAACATTGTATAATAAATGTAACGGGCAATGTCTGACGAGCGAGCACAGCTGAGTAGCTTATTGATTTACTAAAAATAGAAATGACATAAAAATAAACTGCAAATGCCGAGTGCAATTCGAGAAGGCTTGGTGTTCAACTATACGTTGTAACACTGTCATTTAATCGGGAATGAATGATATTCCCTGTCCTGACATAAATATATTTGGAACAAAAACTCTCATGATATTGGTAACAACTGCATAAGACACGTGTTGTATAATTTAGTGCTCACTGATTTCATGACCTGTTGCCTCTGTACTAAAACCACATTTGATCCTAAGATAAAATTATAGTATGGAATAAATATGACATTAATGTTAACTAATACGGTCAAACTTATCACGCAGTATCAATGATTTCTCCCTAGTTTTAGGTCTCGCCTTATATTTTTTAGTTAATAAGCATACACGAATATAGAACTATTATATGGTATGGTTTCAGGACATTTTCAATACAGGACATTTTTTTGGAGGGGTCAGCGATTATAGTTTAGTTGTTAGATCGCCTGCCTACAATGGCGAGATGTTTCAGCATATTTTTTATAGGAATTATAAAGTTTGATTTGTTAAAACATGGATTAAAAATGGTGGCCTGAAGTTTGATTTGACTTGTTTTGGTGTATTTGTCACTAGCTTTATAAGTGCTACCATGAGGTTTAACATAGGGACACTATTGATGTTTATCTATATGACAACAATAACAATGGATGTATTACCAATACTTGCCACGACAAGATAACAATTAAATACAAATAGTAAATTTTATAACACAGTTGAAATGCTTAAATCACATGTATAATATGTGAATCGCCACAGTATGACGTAACAGACAGATGATTCATAATTTTATTCATTCTGTTGTACGTCATCACAGAACTAATTTCGCTGTAAACCGAGTTTGAAATTGATTGTAAAATGACACATTGTGTGTGAAATGAGGTACATCTGTGCACTGTGGTTTTACAGGTAGTATATATTATCATTGAAGTCCACAGATACTATATTACATAATGTCCAAATCGCCACAAAAAGGAATGGTTTGTTTTTATTTGTTCTCATCTATGCTCAGACAAAACTACTTTCCTTTAATGCAGTTTGTTATTGATTGTCAAGTGAGAGATTGGGTAACACCATCTATACTATTTGTAAACACCCTAATTCGCTTTATGAGAGGAGCACTTTAATTACATAATCTGTAGAATAAATTACATCTGTGAACCATCTGTGGTTTAACTGAAAGTTTTACTAGTCAAAATTTGACGGCAACTTTATTAAACAATCAATTTAGACCATCAATACAATTTGAAATAATGTGCAAATAGAACAAATTATTCTAGTAATTTTACTTTCTGAAAATATAATTAATATAGTTTATAAATATATATATATATTGTGCTACAATACAGTGTTGTTCAAAAGATCTGAAATAGATGGGAAGTTAAAATTGGCAGGAGAAGGCCAGGCAAACAGTATAATGCATTTTGATGATCTCTACATATGTAAGAGATTATAGCATTTTTCAATTTATTTATATATAAATTGCATTCTCCTTTATTTGTAGAGTTCTGTCTTTTGGAAGCATTATGTTGTTCACCTGGGTTTCTCTTCATATCTATCTTCACATCACAGACATACATGCATTTTGGGGCCTTAAAATTGACTTTGGGTTGTAACTTGTATGAATAACACTGCATTTGGTACTTCTACCAAGATAATATAATTATACAAGTAATTAATTTAATAATATTAGAACGCCTTTATTATTGGGAAAAGGTTGATGGTCGGGTTACACCAACACTAGTCTGTGCTGCTCTATGGTTTGATTATCTATTGTTGCTGTCTGTCCATGATTTTGTTGTTTACTTTTTTTAAACCATGATTTTTCACCTGGATAAAGAACGAATATTGTATATTAACATTTGTACTAGATTTAAATTTTGTTCCTTTTCTTCATGAATTTTTGTATAATGTCACATAAATACCTTGAAATGTGTCGACAATGTGAAGACTTCATTGTATATTTTTAATTGTTATCATTCTAGGATAGCTAGAGCTTAAACAATATGTGCAACGTAAAGCATTATAAAAGTATAAACAAGCTAAATCAATGCGTAGGAGTTGATTACAAAGGCAGCCAGTAACTAATTTAGAATAGGAAGTGATATCCATTTTATTTTAAAGTTGTTTAAGACTGAAACCTAGAAAAATAGCATCAAATACTGAACAAAACAGAAAACATTAACATTAGAAGCAAACAAATCATATCCCAAGATTGCACCATCAATTGTGTAAATATTGATTGCAGAGCAACCCAAGAATGATAGAACTAAAAATGAACGAACAAACTAAACAATAACGAACAAAACAAAACAACTCAAATTACAAATGTTCGATTGGTACACATGTGTGCATATGAGATGTGTTCCTTCTTTATCTCATTAAAGTTTCAACAAAAATACTAGTAAACAATGATGTTGTAAGTCAGTGGGCAGCACTGAAAATCCTGTCCAGCAACTAGTGTTGACAATATGCGACCTTCTATCTTTGTAATTAGAACACATTACAACATGCCAGTGAAGTAAAACAGTAAAGGGGCATATTGAGGGTGAAAAGCTGATTATTGTCACAATCACAATAGTTATTTTCTTGACAATTGCACTAAGGCTTTGTTTATACACTAATTGTGACTTAATTGAACAACTGTTAACCTATCATATTCAGCAAAGCATGTTATGGTATGAGTGCATTTACCGGTGATTTTCATTAATAAGTTCCATGGGAGTAAACAGCACCAAAATATTGGTACAATTAGCCAAATGCAAGTTTTGCTATACAATGCTTATAACCCATACAG